AGAATACCACCTAACTAATAACTATAAAAAGCGTTCATGACACCCACATAGAGATATGAAATCTAACAATCTCAAAATCTCATCCCGAAACCACTCAACCCCAAAAAATCTAGTGTTCCTCCCAAGCCAAATACCTCACAAAATAAAAAGAAACAAAGAAAAAGGAGAAAGAAGAGAAAATTCGCCGAAAGATAATTCCTCTATCCCGAGAAGGAGGAAACGTTAACAAATCCTTCATCATTACTCTACACTCCGAGTTATAAGTCAAGGAAACCCCAAAAGACTCCATGAACCAACCCCAATTAACTGGACAAAGTGGCAACTCCACAGAATATGGTCAAGGTTATCAAAGGCACTTTTAGAAAGAACACAACATAGGAGACCCAACATAGGAGACCCAACAAAAAGGAAGAACATCTCTGAATACGGTCCAACACATTAACTTTCTTATGTTGCAAGGCAAAAAACTTGATCTTTATTGAAACTTCTACTTTAGCGAAAAGTGAGGGAACAATCAAAAGATTAAGGCCATTGAAGGGAATGGAAATCCAAAAAATGGGAATCAATCTTTTCATTTCCTTTGATATTTCCTTTAATATTCTTCACTAATGAGTAGGAATGGAGCCAAATGATAGAACCCACCTCAAATTTGGTAATCTCATTCCCTAAAAAGGGACAATCTCATTCCTCATCTACACCTTTATCAATCTCATTCTCATTCCTTATTCTATGGATCTCATATTTATTATAATTACTTTACTACTTTTACTTTTTCTCTCATTTATTAACGAGATCTATAACTTTTTTAATTAATTATTTTATACATTGATTATTTCTTTTTCATTTATACTACTAATCATTTTCTTCTAATAAAAATTTATACAACTTTTATTAGTTAATGTGATTTTGTTATAAAATATTCTAAATTGATTTTAATTTTTTAATTTTTTAATTTTTTAATTTTTTAATTTTATGAAGTTATTATTAATTAATATCAATAAATTTTTTAAAATATAATCCATTGCTATTTCAAGGACTTAGGGTCTAATTTGGTGAGCTGGAGGCGAACATCCCGAACGAAACAAGTCCAACCAAATATTTTAGGTTTAATAGGAAATAAAGGTTGCGTAGGACAAAGAGTACGATAAGGTATTTCACCCTTAAGAACTGACGAAGGCATACGATTAATCAAGAAGCAAGCCGTCGAAACAGCATCAGCCCAAAAGGTATTTTGGAACATGCATTTGGAACATTAAGGCCCTTGCTATTTAGAGAAGATGTCCATTTTTCCTATCTGCAACTCCATTTTGAGACGAAGTATCAACACATGAGGATTGATGAATAATACCATGCTCACTTAAATAGGAGCCAAGAGCACCAGAAAAATATTCCTTAGCATTATCACTCTGTAGAACTTTAAGAGAGCCACCAAATTGAGTTCGAATTTCAACATGAAAGTTACGGAAATGAGAAAGTAACTCAGACAATGTTTCATCAAATATAACCAAGTTACACAAGAGAAATCAACAAAAGTAACAAAATACCGAAATCCATTTTTGGACTCAATAGGACAAGGACCCCAAACATCAGAATGGACTAATTCAAAAATAGCATTAGCTCGTGTATTGACTCTAGGATATGAACTGAGACGATGAAACTTAGAAAATTAACATGACTCACAATCTAAAGAATGTAAACTATGAAATTGAGGACGGAGACTCTTTAACACGGAAAGAGATGGATGACCCAAACGACAATGTTCTTCGAAAGGAGTTGGCACTCGAGTGCGAACGGTGGCTGTAGGTATTTGTGTATCAAACGTGTAGAGGCCATTAGATTCATGCCCTTTACCAATAATCTTCTTCGTTGTAAGATCATGAAATAAGCAATAACCAGGAAAGAATAAGACACAGCAATTGAGATCACGAGTAAGTTTACTGACAGAGATCAAATTAAAAGAAAGTTGTGGCAAATTTAAAATAGAGGTCAATGAAAGAGTTTTGGAGAGATGAAGTGTGCCAGAGCCAAGAACAGGAGAAGTGGTGTCATCCGCTATTGTAACATTAGGTAAAGATGTAGATGGTGAAAAGATAGCAAATAAATTGGAGTTACTTGACATATGATTCATAGCACCAGAGTCAATGACCCATTTTGACGCGGAGGACATAAGACATTTATTGGTATTACCTGAATCAGCAATGACAGTAATTGGATTAGAGGATGATGCCATCAATGACTCTTGATACTGTTGGAATTATCTTTATCATTAATTTCTTCTCGATCATAACTTCAACAATATGGACACAAACAAAAACTACACTGAAACAGTCCAAACCAAATCTGAAGGAGGAAAGGAATCGAACCAAACCAATCGAACAGAGCCAAGTGAACCAAACCAATTGAACCGAAACAAACGAACCGGACCAGAACCGGTATAAATCAACCAAACCGAATCGGAATGTGACGAACCAGACCGAACCTAACCTAAAC